GATGGACTCAGCACAAACATCAGCGTAAGGAAATTGTATGGAGGGTCATGAATGCTCACAAAATTGGGGTTGAGGTGTGGGAGGGGGTGAGGGCTCTGGCTGGGGATGCATGCTCTGGAGTGGGAGTGCAGGCTCTTGGGTGTGACCAGAAATGAGGAGTTTGGGGTGCAGGAGGGAGCTCTGGACTGGGGCAGGGGGCATGGGCTGGGGCCTGGGATGAGGGCCTTGGGGTGCAGGAACGGGCTCTGGGCTGGGACTGAGGGGTTCAGGGGGTAGGAGAGTGATCAGGGGTGGGACTGGGAGCTGGGGCATGAGGGAGGTGGGGTTTAGGGCTGCAGGCTCTGGGCTGCACTTATCTTCTCAAGCAGCTCCCAGAAGCTGTGGCATGCCTGCCTTCCAGCTGGATCCTATGCAGAGATGCAGCCAGGTGGCTCTGTGTGCTGCCTCCTACCTGGTCACCAGGCACCATCCTTACAGCTCCTATTGGCCACAATTCCCAGCCAATAGGAGCTGCGGGGCACTGCTTGGGATGGGACAGCACATGGACCAAGACCTCTGGCTGCCTCTGCACATAAGAGCCAAAGGGTGGACACACTGCTGCTTCTGGGAGCCATGCTCTAGGGCCGGATTAAAGACAGCTGATGGGCTGGATGCAGCCCACAGGCTGTCATTTGCCCTCCCCTATTCAGGGACTAAGGCCTAGTTCTGGGGTGGGCAAGATACAGCCCACATCTGGCCCACCAAGCCTTTCAGTCCAGCCCGCGGCCTACCCCACTGGACCCACAGGCACGGAGCAGACACAACGGCTCAGGGCAGTTGGCCGCTCCATCTGCCTTTCTTACACTAGGGAAAGCGGGGGAAGCCCTATATGCTGTGACCCACCTCCTTCACCCAAACTGCCTCTGAGACCCTACCCTCTCCTGCACCCCAGTCCCTTATTCTGAGCTCCCTTCTGCACCCAGCCTCCATCCCAGACCCAGCAACCCCTCCACAGAATAATGCGGCCCTTGACCACTTACCAAAATCTCGGAGTGGCCCCCTAGCAAAAATTATTGTCTGCTCTGGCCTAGCTACTCCTGCTGCATGCTGTCTTAAGAGGGAAACGCGGCTCACTGACATTACTTCCCCCAATTACCCAGACTGTTGCCTTTCCCAGGATAAATCTGTGTTTGATGTGAGAGAGTCCTGGATTCTGGTGGTCACAGCCTTTGCCAGCATGAGGAGACACTGATCTGAAGTGTGAGCTTTAAGACAGAACACACAGGATGGCGTGAAGCCACCAGCTGGCCTGTCACAGACTTGCCTAGAAGAAAAGCACAGTAGTTTTATTCCGTTTTAATTACATGGGAATACCATGGCACCAGGAATTAGTCTCCTGCTCCGTTTCCCAAGTGCATTTAACTGTTATCTAAAGCAAAAGCGTTGGATACAGTGGCACTTGGATTACACAGCAAGAAACCCAGCCCGGTGGCAGCACTTCCCTTCAGCTGCAGCGCTGACTTATTGTTCTCTCAGTGCCCGGAGAGGTTCTGTTCTGAAGAGCACAGAACGCTGTGTTCTGAATGTGGCTGGCACATGAACCCGACGTGCTGACTGTAATTTGCACTCCTAGTAAAACAGAAAGGAGGCTATAACAAAAGCTGGCATGCACAAATTCTATGGCAGCCTGTGTTTTAGGAAGTGGGACTGTGAATTGTGCCCTTTAACTCAAGCTAATAACATTGCCTTTGAAAATCCAACCCAGAGATGTCTGTGTTCTGAGAAATGCATTTTCTTCCAGGCTAATCACAGTAATGCTGTCAGGCACCTTTGTACTAGCTTCGGAGTTAACAGCAGGATTTTACTAGAACTGAATGGAAATATTTGAACAGTGAAAATACGGCTGCTGTCTGGTTGGAAAATAGACAGATCCTTGCTATTCCTCTGTTTTTGGGCCATCCTAATACCTTTACGCTGCAGAAGGTGTCAGATCCCAACCACCTTGTGCATGGCCGATACAGAGTCTAGAGCAGGGCAGGGTGTATGTGTACCATCTCCCGGGGCATGGTAGCAACCCAAATACTATTTTTAAGATGCTGTCCCAGTCCAAAATGTGTTCCTAGCCTTGAAGCACATTCAAGGAAATGGGTCCCAAAAAGCTCTTTAAATCAGGATGAAACTGAAGGCCACATTTTTTTACTTGCTCTGAACCAAAGTGCTGGCACACTGCAAGTATTGGCAATAGGATTAGTAAATAGTTCTTGACCTCTGACTTGCATAGGCTGCACGTTATGTAAAACTGGCTCAGAGGGCAATCGTCTCCACTACCCTGACTATTCCTGTGTCCACATCAATGCAACTAACTCAGATGAAAATGTACCTTTTAAATAGCTTAAAAAGTTAAAGGAGAATTTAGCATCTTGTTATAGAATCCCAGGGCTGGAAGAAACCTCAGGAGGTCACTGAGTCCAACCCCCAACCCAAAGCAGGACCAACCCCAACTAAATCATCCCAGCCAGGGCTTTGTCAAGCTAGGACTTAAAAACCTCTAGGGATGGAGATTCAACCACCTCCCTAAGGAACCCATCCCAGCGCTTCCCCACCCTCCTAGGGAAATAGTGTTTCCTAATATCCAACCTAGACTTCCCCTACTACAACCTGAGCCATGACAAAGGTCTACTATTAACCACCACGCTGAGATAGTCTTCAAAGAACTGCTCTATTAGGATGATTTAAATCAAGACTATATATTTTTCTAAAGGATCTGCACTAATGATTATTTTGGGGAAGTTCTACAGTCTGTGTTATGCAGGACATTAAAACTGGAGTCTCATCGTGGTGCCTTCTGGCTTTAGAATCTGTGCTTAAGCAAGAGCCAAATTGGTGATTAAATTGGTATTTTTTCTCTTCCTGACTCAATGGCTATTCTGATCAATCAGACCACAATATAGTGATCAAAAACAAATTGTGCTCCACATGAGAACAGTGCTTTGTTCTATTTGTTATTTGTGGGTTAATAAAGATAAATGTGTGTCTGGTTACAAACTTCCTGAGCACACAAAAGCATAATGGGTTTGATGTTTCAATGAAGCCAAAATATAAGCAACAAAAAGAATGTAATAGTTAGGACTATTAAACTGGTATCGACTTTGATTTTTTTTAACTAGGATTTTAGGTGCAATAAAGCAAGCCATTAAAGGTTTAGGCATTTAAATTAACAAGCTGAATGTGACCATTCAGATCAATTTCTGACCTTTCAAAAAAGTTCATCAACTCACACTGCACAGAAGCTCTGATATAGGGAAAAGGATGACCAGCTAATCCTAAATGTACAATATAGCCATTCTAACAGCCAAAACTTTCATATCTGCTGTTTCTCTCTCCTTCTATGATTGAGCTGTTCTCTTTAAACTTGGCTTCTTTTATCCTCCCATCTCACATCAAATAGTTGCTTTAGAAGAGAAGCTCCATCATATTGATTGAAAAAGTGAGATAAGAAAGCTGAATGGAATTACGTTAGGGTTACTTTTGGGTCAATTAGGACTTCAGTTAAGCCCACAGAACACTACTGAATCCAGTAGATCCTTCTCATTAATGTATGCCCTTCAGTTAGTAGTGATCCAAAGTTAGTGGTAGTGTTCTGGCCACAGGGAGAGGAAAAGAAAAGACTTAATTGTATCATGAATGCAACCAAAACATTGAAAAGGACAATGAAAATAGAAAGCTGCCTAGTTTACGCCAAGAATGTCATGCATGTAACTTTTAATTTACAAGATTCAAGGAAAAGCCACAGCAATAGCTAACCTGAAGCTGAGATTTTTTCACATATACACAAGAAAATCCAGAGCTTGGATTTTCAAAGTAGCCTACACACTGTCCCCTACGGCATTACAGCATCTCTCGGACTGCAACACAAGAAAGGAAAATCTTCAAAAAAATAATTAATAAAGGAAGACGGCAAAGGAGATAGAACTCTCATTCTGCACATGCTCATTTCCTCTGACGTTTCCACATCAAACTGAAGAGACCTTGTTGCACCAGTTAGTATTGGTTTGTTTATCAAAGCCAGAGGGGGGACTTTGACAAAAGGCAGGAACAGAGTTACTCAGAGCAGAGCCTGTTATACCTCAGTGGACATTTCATCATCATCTGGCTACGGCCTCGATTTAATAATTTTCCATTAAATCCTTAGGAGCCAGGAGCTCTGGAGCGTCCACTGCTGGACTCGCCAAGGAAGAACTGTTTTAACTTATCAAACACTGAAGCTCAACAGGCTGATACTTAATTGGCTCTCTTTTCTACTCCTTCCTATCTTCTCCCCACCCCATCTTCATATAAACCGTGGCCAGCATCTTCTACACGTACACCTTGGCTCAGTGCTGTAAGAAGCCCATTTTGCACAGCGGCAGGGTCTGACCTGATCACACTAGAGAGACAACACACAGCACAGAGTGGTACTTGATAATGGAGGACCCTTCCAGCCACAATTCTGTCAACTGGCTTCATCATCAGAGGTGGCTACAGTGCTGTGAAGCCCCTGGAATGCTATTATAAAGAGTTCAGCCCACCAGCGTGCTTGCCCTCGGCTGTTAAGGTGCATTTATAGTTACGCTTGGCTGCAGCCAAGCCAGTACTCACTTTGTACAGTAGCTCCTTCATTTGGATTGGAGTACCCTTCTCCTTTTCGCTTGATTCTTCGGATGATTCCTCCATCCTCAAATAAATCCTCCCCTTTGAAATCAAGAAGCTCAATCTAAAATAAATAAATATATACATGGCAGACTAAGCAACAGCTGATCCCAGATGTGGAAAACTAACCAACCTAATTCAGCTGAAATGGAAGAAGCCCATAAGAGCTAGCTCTAAATTTGGTAACTGGTTCCATTGATTAAAACCTGAAACATACCTAGCACCTGAAAAAAAATGAGTGGCTAATAATTCTGTAAGGGTGCAATTCACACATTGATGTGGGATTCTGTAAAAACTGCCCATAAAAGCAACAGACCTTAAGAACAAAAGAATGGCCATACTGGGTCAGACCAATGTCTAGCCCAGTATCCTGTCTCCTGGTGGTGGTCAAAGCCAGACGCTTCAAGGAAATGAAGAGAACATGGCAATTATTGAGTGATCCATCCCCTGTCAACCAGTCCCAGCCGCTGGCACTTAGAGGTTTAGTGACAACCAGAGAATGGGATTAAGGTCGTATGCATGATAGACAGATTCTGCGTGAGTTAACTATTTTTTTTTTTTGCATCCAGTTATATAAAAATGCTGCCTATTAATTTAAGGGGGGTGACCATTGGCTTTTGTATTCTGCAAAGTGGCAAATAACACTTTCCTATTCACTCTCTTGACACTATTCCTGATTTTATGGACCTCTATCACAGCAAAGCTGTTTCAATCTTATTCATCTCTCCTCAGGTAGAAATTGTTCCATGCTCCTAATCATTTCTGTTGTCTCTGTTGACCAGACATAGCACCACGAAGGCTATGTCTAGACTGCATTGCTTTGCCAGGATACTTTTTCCCGAAATTTGGCACCATGTAGATGCGCCAAATTTTGGAAAAGCCTCTTTCGAAAGTAAATCAGAAAGAGATACGCAATTTGTGTACTGCAAATTGCATATCTTTTTCCGATTTAACACTGCAGTCTAGATGTAGCTTAAGGAAGGGCCATGAAGTCTGCTGACAACGAAACAGGCACACTGAGGCCAGCGGCTCTCCAAGGCAATTAATTGTAGCCAAAGCTGGGACGGTCTGAGCCTTAATTAACTAAAGATGCTTTTCTTCTGTTGAGGTTTGCACAAACGCTTTTCTATGCAAGGCTTTGCCAAGTGAATACATACACTATGTGCTCAGCTTGGCTGATCAACATCTGCTCTGTGCCGACTCATTTTGATTCAGCTCACTGGCATTACTGGATTTTTATGACGTGAAAACATTTTTGACCTGCCCTTCCCTTATTTTATACACACACATATACATACACACAAAGAGGAGAATTAACAGAGCCTGTGTCCTATTTGTGACAGGGTTTTCTATATGCTACCAAGTTAAGACTTCTTTTCTGGGTTTGGTAGCTTCAGATCCTGTTTGAGAACTGCTTCTCTACTGTAGACATACATTTCCGAGAAAGCTCTGGCATAAGTTACCGAAGGTAATGGGGAAACAAACCAAGAATCCAAGTGGTCTGTTGAATCAGTTTCCAACAGCATGCCCCAGGGGAGGGAGTTTCCATACCAGCACTCTTACACATACTTGCCTCGAAAAAGAGAGTTGCATTGGAGGGGATTTTTGGGACGCTGCCGGCAGAGCCATATGCATACTCTGGTTTACACACCAAGTGACAGATCTCCCCTTTCTTCATGGTGGCAACCCCAATGTCCCATGCCTTGATTACCTGGCCTAAGAGAAGGACATGCTTCAGTAGGAGGCAATAGTTTATATCATGAAACTACCAAAACAAGTTTTGAACACAGTCCCTTTTCTTATTTCAAACACTCTCCTATATTGGTGCATTTACAATCTTACTTGTGGTCATTAAACCAATCACAACAGCTACACAACCCAACTACTACACAGAATCCATCAGATCCAGCTGTCACAATTTTCTAGAGCTAATCGGAAGTGTACATCATGAAGGTATAAGCACAAAAGTCAGTCACGGAAATTTGTTGCAGCCCCCTCCATAGCAGGAGAGACATTCACGCTAACGTAGAGGTCCCGCAACAAACTCTTTATTTGGGGCTAGAGGTGGGCTGCGGAGAGGATATGGATGGAGTGGCCCCAAATAGATGGGCTGACACCCTCTGGGAGCAAAAGGCAGCCTCTGGCCAGTTCCACATATGCTTGTATGAGCAGTGTTACAGGAGAGAAAGATTATTGCACTAAGCTGTTCTCCTGTCTTAAAACTCCTTCTACAGAGTTATATAAAACCTCACAATCCATGAGTCTGGTCCATGTTCTCTATCTACATTCTACAGAAGGATTTTGGAGCTGCAAGCCATCACAGGAGCAATGGTTTCCACTCTGTAAGCTTAATAGCCATAAAGAGGAATGCAAACAGAAGCCCTTAGTAAATGGTGGCCCTTAATTTACAAAATAAAAGTCACGTGCTCCAAAACAATTCTGTTTTGTTCTCAGCTTGCCATGTAGTTAACAGAAGATAGAAATTCATTTATGTAAGCATAACTCCATTTGCTTATCGTGTAGGAGTACCAGGAAAGCCAAAATCAAACTGTCTGGAAGATTTGCTGAGGTAGCAATAAGAACTTTGAAAAGTAAGCATTCTAGTTAAAAACCACTCCTTTATATTTTTAATTCATGTAACTACATTTCACCCCTCCCATTCATGTTGCTAGTGACATGTGACTGACAACAAGAACTTAAAACGTCATTAGAGATGTCGTCAGTTATCATTCAAGCTGAGGGATATAAAGTTTACCCCTGGCTGCAAACGATACAAATAGGCAGGTATGCAGTTCAAAACCTATCACACTCAACATGAAGCCCATTTTAAAAGCCCATTTTGCAAGAAGCTATACCTATGCAACAGCAGGTGGGGTAAAGTAGCATATAACATTAGAGGGAAAATATGTATTTCCACTGTAATCTGATTTGGGGCACACAGACAGATTCTCAGAGGTGCTGAGCGCAAGCAACGACCACTGACTTAATGTAAACTGCTGGTTATTAGACACCTACAGTCAGATTTCCAGAGGCAGCCAAAATCAAGAAACATTTGAAAAGTTGGGCCTATAAAATATCATCACAACAGCCATGGGACCAGAAGCACCTGTATAATAAATCACCCACAACTTCAGTGACGGAACCAGGATTAGAACCTAAAAAGTTCTTATTCCCCATCCTATGTTCATTCCACTTAAACATGCAATCTTTCTAACAGAATTATGTAACAACAAACCAACATTATCCAAAGAACATGCATTTTGGGTCCCTGAGGCTGCATTTCCATTTCACTCTGTACCTTTTCCCAGACTGAAAATAAATGGCTCGTTCCTATCACGGCTGGAATCAAATTTTTTTCCATTGGCCAGCTTTCCTTTATAGTGGACGTAAACCTTGTCTCCAATCATAGGGGACTCATCCTCATTCCCTGGTTTCTTCACAATCTGGGAAAGAGAAGGACAAGTAGGTGAAGATGGTAGTTCATTTCAACAAACGGGCTGCTTTAGCGGACTGACTCTTCTACTCAGCCCTAATGAATGTTCTAGACACAGGCGTGCGTTTAAGTGTTACCAGCACAGCTCGTCTCTTCAACAATTCCAAACTCTCCCAGAACAACGCATATTTTTTAATCATAAGGTGGTGTTGGTAAGCACTTACTTCTTGCTAACTGGGGTTCCAGCAGTACAAAAACCCACCCTCCACACAGTTTCATTCACAACCCCAATCGCAGAGAAAAAGCCCAGAGAGAACTGCATGCCAACCAGCAGATCTATACAGGTCTGGCACCTTCAGGATCTGACGGGTGTCGAATCAGAGAATTTGTTGACCCATGGGAGGTCAAAGTTATCTAGCAGCTTTACCAACACTTCCACTGATTACTGGGCTCTTCGAAGACGTTTAGGGGTAAATCAGAGCTAAACAACAGCACAGAACACTGAGAGCCAAGGCTGGTGGCTGTAAACAAACTTTATGAGACTCTGGGAATCTTGGCCACACCCATGATAAGTGGACATTTGGCTAAATAAAATCATGTCAGACCATGGATGTTGCCAGACCAGAGACTACCAGACTAGAGAGGTTCATCCTGTAGTTGATAGCAAAGCAACATACCCTTGTATTTAAGTAGTACCACTGATGTGGTGGTGAAGTAGTATTGTTGAGCGTTCCCAGGTATATTCAAAGGAAGATCCTTTTTATGCCAGGTTTGAACCCAGAGTACAATTTTATAGCAGTTTTCATGGAGATCTAGAGATGCTGATTTGGCCCCCCAATTGTCGTGGCTGTTCAAACAATACTCTGCAATAACCAGTCTCTAGATCAACCCTATCTTCCTACTCCTGATGGCAGAAATCTGACGAGGCTGTGATTTGACTGCCCTCCCCCCCCCAACTCCAAAATAAAAATCAATAAACATTAGCTGTTTCCATCATCATCAGGGATGATCTAGATCCATGGTCACCAACCTGTCGATCACGACTGACTGGTCGATCAGGGGGGCTTGCCCAGTCGATCTTGAGGCATTCGGGCTCCCCTCCCATTTCTTCCCACCCCCCAAGAAGCCCCTGCTGACGCTACCTCAAATGCCAATGGAGGTACATAAGAACGGCCGTACTAGGTCAGACCAAAGGGCCATCTAGCCCAGTATCCTGTCTCCCGACAGTGGCCAGCACCAGGTGTCCCAGAGAGGGTGGACCGAAGACAATGATCAAGTGATTTGTCTCCTGCCATCCTTCTCCAGCCTCTGACAAACAGAGGCCAGGGACACCAATTCTAACCCCTGGCTAATAGCCTTTTATGGCCCTAACCTCCATGAAATTATCTAGCTTCTCTTTAAACTCTATTATAGTCCTAGCCTTCACAGCCTCCTCTGGCAAGGAGTTCCACAGGTTGACTACACGCTGTGTGAAGAAGAACTTTCTTTTATTAGTTTTAAACCTGCTACCCATTAATTTCATTTAGTGTCCTCTAGTTTTTCTATTATGGCAACTAATACATAACTTTTCTTTATCCACCCTCTCCACACTACTATCATATCCCCCCTCAGTCGTCTCTTTTCTAAACTGACAAGTCCCAGTCGCTTTAACCTCTCCTCATATGGGACCCGTTCCAAACCTCGAATCATTTTAGTTGCCCTTTTCTGAACCCTTTCCAAGGCCAAAATATCTTTTTTGAGGTGAGGAGACCACATCTTTACACAGTATTCAAGATGTGGGCGTACCATAGTTCTGTACAGGGGCAGTAAGATATCCTGGGTCTTATTTTCTATCCCTTTCTTAATAATTCCTAGCATCCTATTTGCCTTTTTGACCGCCGCTGCACACTGTGTGGAAGTTTTCAGAGAACTGTCCACGATAACTCCAAGATCTCTTTCCTGATTTGTCATAGCCAAATTAGCCCCCATCATACTGTACCTATAGTTGGGGTTATTTTTCCCGGTGTGCATTACTTTACACTTATCCACATTAAATTTCATTTGCCATTTTGTTGCCCAGTCACTCAGTTTGGTGAGATCTTTTTGGAGTCCCTCACAGTCTGCTTCTGTCTTGACTATCCTAAACAGTTTGGTATCAGCAGCAAACTTTACCATATCACTGCTTACCCCTTTCTCCAGATCATTTATGAATAAGTTGAAAAGGATTGGTCCCAGGACTGACCCTTGGGATACACCACTAGTTACCCCCCTCCAATCTGAAAATTTACCATTTATTCCTACCCTTTGTTTCCTGTCTTTTAACCAGTTCTCAATCCAAGGAAGGACATTCCCTCTTATCCCATGGCCATGTAATTTACACAAGAGCCTTTGGTGAGGGACCTTGTCAAAGGCTTTCTGAAAATCCAAGTATACTATATCTACTGGATCCCCCTTATCTGCATGCTTGTTAACCCCTTCAAAGAACTCTAATAGATAGTAAGACAGGATTTCCCTTTACAGAAACCATGTTGACTTTTGTCCAACAAATTATGTTCTTCTACATGCCTCACAATTTTATTCTTTACTATCGTTTCGTCTAATTTACCCAGTACTGAAGTTCGGCTTACTGGTCTGTAATTGCCAGGATCGTCTCTAGAGCCCTTTTTAAATATTGGTGTCACGTTGGCTATCTTCCAGTCATTAGGTACGGAAGCCAATTTAAAGGATAGGTTACAGACCACAGATAATAGTTCAGCAATTTCCCATTTGAGTTCTTTTAGAACCCTTGGATGAATGCCATCCGGTCCTGGAGATTTGTTAACATTAAGTTTTTCTATTTGTTCCAAAACCTCCTCTAATGACAATTCAATCCAGGACAGTTCCTCAGATTCATCATCCACAAAGGACGGTGCAGATTCAGGGATCTCCCCAACGTCCTCAGCCATGAAGACTGAAGCAAAGAAATCATTTAGTTTCTC